CCTTGTAATTGCAATTGCCTAAAAATAATCCTAAGCTCCATATGGCACTTAAAACTGGTCAGAGGAATTAGCTTAAATCACCCACTCAAACTCCAAGACAGGTGTACAGCTTTCCCATTCCTAACAAAGGCTCTTAAGCAAGGATTGTGCCAGTGTTAAAGCTGTAAGATCTGTACACTCATCCACTCTGCACACAGGAGCACTTTGTGACACTAATACTTTACATGATCAATACTAACAGGAAAGAAGGCAAAGGTCCCTGAATTAAATTGTTCATAGCAGCCACAAAAGCAGTGTTGGCAGCTTTTTTTATTATTTTTCCCCCATCAAATTTACATCTCGTACTTGGAGCTATATATTTGCTAGTCAAAAGGCAGACTCCTGTCATCAGAACAACTTGGATTGTCAGTACTTTTGTTGTTGCTTGGTTTCAAATCTGAAAGAATTAGTTCTTCAGAATCTGCAAAGGTTAAGGGGTTTGTAACATTCTCAATGAGCCCATAACGTTAAAAACTCCCAAGGTTGTTGGATTATGTTAACATGTATAACACTACACAGTATGTCTAGGCATCATGAGAGGATCAAGTCCTAAGAAGGATTTTGGAGGCAAATATTGAGAAGAATTTCTGACTACTCCACATTGCAGCGCAGGAAATAGAAAAAAAAATCACAGAAATACAAGAATCCCAAAAAACAGTCCAACATATGGCAAAAATAAGACTAGGAAACTGGCTTTAAAGTTATCACAGGGAAGTAGCAGCCTAAAGTAGAATCATGGTACTGAGAGGTTAAGGTGCACAAAACCCCAACAAAAAGATCTAACTGCATGAAACTTTAAATAACTTTCTTTTTTAGCAATAATTCATTATGGTAATTCAATTACAAGAATATTTTTGGCATTTGTTAGATGAAACACCATTTCAGTTCAACAATTAATGCAGATGAATTAGCACATTTTCAACTACCATCTTTTGGAACCCAAAATTCAGAATTATTTCTATTTATTCTGATTTATTACATGTTTACACTGAATTTTAAAAATCAGCTGAAATACAAGTGTATATTACAAGAGCAAAATAATAAATAAAAAATTATGCTGTCCTGATAAAGAGTACTTCCTTGGATACTTTATCACAGCTGAAATACAAGTGTATATTACAAGAGCAAATTAATAAATAAATTATGCTGTCCTGACAAAGAGCACTTTCTTGGATACTGTATCTATTTAAAAATATAAATTAAAGAGGCGAGTCTGAAAGATTTTGTTGAACTTTTTAAAACAGATTTGTCAGCTTACAAAAATACCTTCTGCTGTTCCTCACAGAAAGATGTGACAGGTACACTTAATAGGGTTTTGTTTTTAAAAAGTCTGCAGGAATCAGTGACTTATACAGATTTGCCATTCTTCCTTAATTGCATAATTATTGCAATTCCAAGCATTTAGTTCAATGAGGTTCAGGAAAGATTCCACTATTTCCACAGTAGAAATGAGCACAGACTTTGCACCTAACAAAAATTTAAATTAGTTTTAACAAGAGAAATTTCCATTTACTCATTACAAAGAATAAGAAATTGTGTCACAATTTGAGAAAAGTAATTGGGGGATGGATGCAAGAGGTGGGAAATCAAGTAAAAAAAAAATCTACTCCTTTGCTGTAGAGCACATATTTAAAGATAGTTTATCACTCTTAGGAGTTTTCCCCCCACATCATGGCTCTACTTTCATTCATGCCCTTTAAGAAAAATAATATTTACATTCTTACCAATTTTGTATACGTTTTTCACCTGTCACATCCTTATCTGAACATTACAGTTAATTCCTCAAATATAGGTAGAACACCATTAATAATTAAGTATATGCTGAAGGCAGCAAATAAATCGGGATTTATAGGCTCAGAGCCCATTAATCTTACCAAAATCTCTGTGGATTAGGTCAAATCCCATTAGAATCTAGGGATAGCATTTGGGAGATTGTGTACAAGACTGCACAGTAAAGTGTCTAAAAAACACATTAAAAAGCAGCTCAACTTACAGAGATACCATAAATTGGTATACCACACCAAAAGGAAAAAACAAAACAGCTTAGTCATAGTAAGAGGAGACACAGATTGTTTAGATTGTCCTTGTTGGGATTTTACAGCAGCAGACACAGCAGCACAAGTACCCAGCAATGCACATGCTCAGTTAAGAGGCACATCCACAAACAGAGATAGACAACAAATGCCCCTACCTTTGAAGCAATATTTATTAACATTTACAAGTATTTAATTATATTAACAATACTAATATTAACAATATTAATATCAAGTAGTTATTAAGGGCATATAATTAATTGTAATCAGAGAGAAGTGCCTTCAAAAATTATATAAGCACTGGGTTGTGTGTGCATTTTACAAGGGGCTAATGCCAACTAAAGCCTTTATTCAGCTGGGCAAAGCAACCACCCAAAATTCCTTAAAACACCCCTAAAACTGTTAAACCTGTTCTGGTCAGAGCTGTAAAGTTACAATCACCCTCAAATAACTTCCCAGAAAAAAGAAATATTTTTGAAAGCATATCCAAACTACCAACTGACATATAATAACCCATAGACATAGCCAATCTGCAAACCTATTAAATGCTTAGCAGGGGAAAATAATTTTGCATGTGTTTCTCTAAAAAAACTTGAATATTTCTATGATGATTTTCAACTTTATAATTAAAATAAAATGTTTTTTTCATTCATAAAGCAGAATTTCCTGTCAGGAAAATACCCTTAGAACTTGTTCATTTTAATTTTTATTATAAGTATTGAATTATTCTGACAATTGTCTACATTGATGTCTCTCTACTGCTAAATGGAATAAAGCAGTAAGCAGAAAAGCTGATGTAACTCTTGCTGTAATGTCAGTGTAGGCAGTGACTGCAATTTGGGATGTAATAAAGTGCCAAAAATTTAAGTCACTTATAAAATGCCTGACAGATAAATCAGGGCTTGGGCCATTTTAACTGTGATCACAGAAATTTATGGTCATGAAGTCTTGAAGGAAAATATAATTTATTTAATGAGGGATAAATTCATTCAGATAATTGTCATAACAACCAGCCCCTGAAGAGAAACCAAAGCTGAGGTTCAGTATTAGCTGTTATTATATGAAGAATTAAAAGAGAAAAGCTGTTAGAACATCAACGTAATATAAAGGAATTTTACTTCTCTCCTAGTTGAGACAGAATGGACTCACATATGAGTAATAAGGGCTTAACCTCTGGTAAAATATATCTAAAGTGCTAAAAATGGCAAGAGGCTAGCTGTTTCTATCCAAGCTGCCTCTGAAATCTCCACTTCCCAAAACATCCAGGTTTCAAAATTGGAAAAATGTACCTTATTTGTGCTCATGTTTTCCTGCCTGAACATTCTTGTAGTAGCATAAATGTTTTACTCTGTTTTGCTAGATAAGGCACAAGTGAGCTCACATAAGTCCTCTTTTATGGAGGAGAAGTAGCACACTGCCATCTGTGAAATAGACTGAACATGAAAAGCAGCCTCCTCTGGCACCCAACTGCAAAGACACATCAGACCAATTTTGGTCCCCAGTAAATCTAGGCCATGTTTCACTTTTAGTGCCACCTTATATGGTGTTTACTTCATGGCAGGCTCTTCCTATATTTAATCCTCAAATTACCTCACTCTCTAGTTCTCAACCTGCAAATCCTGTAAATAGGGGTCAGCCTTACTGTAGCCAGGAAGTTACTCCTCATTTTTACCACACTCACAAAAGCAATATTGTGGGAAAAAGGATTATTGTTTGCTATTTCTGTGGGGAGGATGAAAACAACAAAAAACAGGAAAGGAAAGCAAAGCAAGTAGAGCTTAGGGGGAAAACCAATGTGGGGAGGATAAAAACAACAAAAAACAGGAAAGGAAAGCAAGTAGAGCTTAGGGGAAAAACCAAATCCAGACAGAGTAGATAATCAAGCAAATTATTTTGAGGAAAAACATGAACTAATTTTTTTTCTCTGCCAGTGTTGGTGGATTTGGGACTGAGGGAATGCAAACCTATGCCATGCTCTTTCCTTTTTCAGTTTCAATCCAGTCACAAATCCTCATGGGCTGCCCCAGCAAGAGGAAAAATGCATTATTTAAGGAGGTGCCAACGTGCAGTGCTGCTGGGAGGAGCAGAGGAGCTCACACATGTCAGGGGCTCCCTTTCTGCTGCACAGCACAGCAAACCCTTCTCAGATCTTCTCATCCCTGTGCCAGCCCCTGGACTTGCCCTGCCTGTCCCATGCCAGCATGGCAAAGGTGTGGTTGGTGCTTCAGTACTTGATCCTGCAGCCCCCCAGTTCAGCCAGCAGAGCTGCTGCCAGGCAGCCACAGCCTTGCCACGGGACCTGAATTTGGGCAGCCCCTCCCCAGGGCATCCCAGAGATGGGCACTGCTGTCACACCAGTGTATGGCTAGTCAGAAAATAAGAAGCCTGCTTCACATACAGAACAAACACATTTCTCAAGGAGGAAAAGAACCATGAAACATGCAAGCATACAACTAAAACTTGAGTTTTCAAATTTAGTAGTAAATAATTCCAAGTAAAAACAACAAATCGGCTACAAGTGGAAAAGATGGGAGGCTGTTTAAGCTTTGACACATACCTTCTGCCAGCCACCAGCAGTAATGTACCCCTTTTCTCCAAAAATCTTCCAAAGACATTTGAATTACCTTGCACCATCAAGCTTATGAAGGTACCAAGACAAACTAGTTGCTTCAATTAGTGCAGGTCTCAGCACTAGCGTTACTTTGCTATCATTTGTGTGCTTGAGAAATGAAAACTGTTCTTTTCCTTAACATACCTAATGAATAAGATCCTTTCAGCAAATTTCAGTAATATTTTATAACCTTTTCATATCTTTAAGATTCTGGCTGCTGGCAAAGCTTCCAGCTGGACAGACAGGCAATTCCCAATCCTTTGAGGACATTCTTGAGTACAAATACATTTTGGAAGTGTTCTTACTGAAGTACTTACTGTGCAGGAGGTCGAGCAACAGGCAGCTTTATAAAGCAGTGGTGGATCTAAGATCTCCAAGTGTGTTGGTCTGGTGTGCAAGCCCTGAAGTCAATCAGGAATCAGAGTAATGCAGAGAAGAATTTCCTGAGTCTGGAAAATTTTGGCAAGAAGAGCTGCATCTTAAAGCAGGAAGCCAACAGGTTTTTTTCTAAATTTACTTTTATTACACACACACAACCTTTTATTTATTTGACTTAATAAACTCTCAAGTCAGCCTCAGATGAGTTTTTTGATGTGAACAACTCAGGCTGTGTGCTTAAAGCAGGAAGCCAACAGGTTTTTTTCTAAATTTACTTTTATTACACAAACTTTTATTTGACTTAATAAACTCTCAAGCCAGCCTCAGATGAGTTTTTTTGATGTGAACAACTCAGGCTGTGTATGCTTTGCATGAAAAATATTAAGCTACAAAAACAACATGCTGTAGAGAAATTGTTCTAGTATTCCACAAATCTGATTGCACAAAAGTAAAAAAGGTAGTGTGAAACTAAATGGAGGCATTCCAGTAGTTTATTTAATAGCACTTATTTCAATTGTTCACAAATGTGCCAAATGAGTTTAAAGCATTCATACACTGAGTTTGCTGAACATCAGCACGGCTCACAGGCTGCAAAATTGTTAAGGAGCTATTAATGAAGGGGAGAGATTGCATGCAAGAGCCACATTAGTGCAGTGTGACTGTACAGGCAGCCCTGTAACTCAATAAAATTCTTCCCAGAGAAAGCTTGAGCAGAACAGACAAAGCAGTTACAACAGATATTCAAACTCATTTTCTAGTATATTTTCCCATTCTAATTGACAGAATAACCCAAGGTACCATGCCCCCAGGGCACAAAAACTGCCTGTTCTGTTAAAGCCTCCCCAGTTGTGAATTACTCAGATTTTTCTACATGCATCAAGTCTGTTGTTGGAATTACACAGAAATGTCATTATCATAGCAGGAGTAACAGTTTGGGGGACAGCTTGACAATGTGTAACCAGCAGTAAGACATAAGATGCTTAAGTAATTAGTGGAATATTGTCAGTTATTGGAAGAGTGTGTTATGATACACATCAAATAGGGGGGTTTAGGGTTAATGTCACAAGTTCTTGAGAGCCTCAAGTAAACTTTGTTATTTATGAGGTGCTTAATATCTGTTACCTGTAGGAGAAGGAATTTTTCCTTCTGCCTGATCTATAATCGCAGTTTGAACATTACGACAAATCCAGCAATTTTAAGTTAATTCACAGTAAAAGAATATATTATAGAATTGATAAAATAATGAATCTATAGTGCTTTGAACATTGACAAAGCAATACCCTGTATTTTGAATAGCTGGTATTTAAAGCGAGTCATCAGAAAACCTTCAATGTCTAATAGCGACATTAGGTTATGTTAATTGCTTTATGAGGGCATCATAATACAGAACTCTGTAAAAGAATTAGACTGTGGAAATAATACTTGAATTTTCTTTAACAGAGGATACTCATATTGCTGCGTCACACTGATTCTCACTTAAGTACTATTTTAAAAGCTTTCAGAAAGCATTTAACAACAAATAAATTGTTCAGGTATGTATTCCAGCTCCAAAGTGTATTCAGCAGTTTTTTGACAGGCACTGGAATGTATTGAACAAAGTGTAGCACAGAGGTATAACAGGAAAGATCACAGGTGTCAGACTTTGTGACTGTCTTGGAGGAAAAGTTAACAAAATTAATATAAAATATAAATTTGGGGAAAATTAAAATGTAACATCATGAAAAACTTAATGTAGTGGAAAGTAGCAAAAACCTCACAACTTCTGATACTGAATATAAACCAAGTACCACCTTTTCCTTTTTCAAGTACCCTCCCATACAAATGCCTTTTTTTTAGAGCTGCAGTTAACATTTTTCAGAACACCAAAAACCAGTTTAAGAACTTTAGAAGTGGACAATAGACTGTGTGTTCCAGTTTTGTGGGCAGATATAAATTATGAATCAAAACTATGCTTAAGAGAAGAAGTGACATGTAGTTTACTTCTCTGGAAATTCAAGTTTTGCTTCAGATTTTTCATCTTCACTCAGGAAAAAGTTATTCTTGGTCAGAATCAATAACATATTGAACATGGGAGGAAAGGAAAGAAATTAAACAAAAGTCTCATGTCAGAACAATTCCTATAATTCACCATATATTTTTAAAATATTCACTTTCCAAACCCAGACAGTAAATAACAGCAGAAAATCCAAGAAGCAAAGTTTGGTTTACCTGAAAATGAGGGGCTTTTGCCTCAAAAAAGTCCACTGCTTTTTATTCCAGCTTTGGAAAAATATTTTCTCGATTTATATTTTACGCAAATATATTAGTCCCTAGATTAAATTTGTTACTGTTTTATGAATTTAGTCACTTCAGGATTGAGGAAAAGGAAATCTGCAGAACATGCCATTTAATCCAGAAATTATTTTGGCTATTCTTGGCTTGCTGAATTACAGTGGGCAAGGCTTCTCATACAGCAGCCACCTGCCCTTGCTCCATTGCCTACACACCAAGGGGACATAGAACATGTTGGCAAGTTTCTCTTCAAATGTATAAACCTGCAATAAGGTAAAGCATGCTACTGAACAGTAACACCAAGTGTGACACTTCAGGAGGAAAAATAATTGCTCAGCTCTCTAGTGATTCTCACAGACACTTTCAAGGCAGGGCTAACATTCAGCAGGCGTGCAACATTCCAGCCAGGAAGGCTGAATACCACACCAGAAATCCCACAATGAGAGAACTAAACTTTTCTCTAATGTGCAATAATTGTAAACATTCCAGAAACTAAAACAAAATCTTCAGTATTTTTTCTAGCAAATCTCAGAGTAAGGAGAAGTTAGACTGAGAGGGATGGCTACAGCTAAGAAGTGGCTCTTATATCCTGAATTATAAAGTTGGCTCAAAATTGAACTCAAGATGTGTGCACCCAGTACTCAGAAGCACTCCAGAAGGCTGCTTGCAATTTCAGGAGTTAGGTGCTCACTTCAGGAGATGTCAGTGAATTAGACTCAATGTCAGTCTAGGACCCCTAGGAACACAGAAAGGAAACTTAGCAACAGAAGCTAATGAAGGCCTTACAAGAATAAAGTCATTCAAGTAGATTTCTCAAAGAGCTAACTTGGCTCCTCCAGCCAACTTTTTTGAAAAAGAGGAAAAAGCCTACCTCACCCAGCCAGCCACTGCAACCCATTTTCCAGGGCAACATAACACAAAACAGAGTTCAAATTTTTCTGTACGCTGAGCTAATTAAAGGAGTAGACTGCATACTAAAATCTGATAATTAAGCTGATATCAAAGCCCATAAAGCTGCTAGCCTTGTTCTGATCTGTTACAGCAGCTCAAAACACAGTGAGGATAAAAAAAAAGAACAGGTTTCTTGATATGAAAACCTATATATTTAAACATGACATACCATGTTGTAGAAAAGCCTCCTACACAACTAAAGATTTAACTTCTAAAACTGCTTATAAATATTAATACAATATCATAATCCATTTAATTCTCAACATCTTTCTGAATTTGTAACAAGGATTTCTCAAGTCAACTCTTTCATCTTCAAATATATGTTAAGATGTGAAGACAAGAGCTGTCACTTTAAACCCACCTGCAGCCTTTAAAAAAGACAGGGTTCAACCTACTGGTGGAGTTATAGTTAATTCCTCAGAAAGGCTCTTGATAAAACTCTAGAGAATCAAGAATCAGGTTTACTCACATGTAGCCTTGAAAGCACTGATTAAATAGGGCTAGTTTTGGATATCTTTGCTTCTCTGATACAAAAATAATACCTGAATTTGGAGATCTTCAGGGAGAGTTCACACAGCTTCATTATTAATAAAACTAACTTAGGCATTACTTGAATACATATCCCAATAACAAGGACTGTCGCCTAATTTGCTGCCAGAATCTTTGTGACAGAGCACAAACTTGCTCAGTTGCTTTGAAAAGAATGTTCCCCCATTCAGAAAGGATCAGGAAATATGGCAAGAGAGGACATGTTTAGCAAGAAAACTGAAAAGTAGGACCAAGGGATAACAGTGTTATTATGAACTACATCTAGGTCTCCTATGTTATCCTAGTTATCACATTAAAAAAAGGCAAAGTTAATTAGAACAATAATGAATTTTCCTCTTTCAATTCAAGAAATCAGCAGATGAACAATTAATTTATTCTTTTACTTGGCTAAGGAATGCCTCAGCAATTTAGAAGCAACATAATTCCCAACTCTAGCCAATTGTGTTTGCCTCCTTTAATAATTGAATAGTGAATGATTTGAATTATATACCTTTCCATATTAAGACCTAAGAGGTCTTTAACTCCCAAATAGTTGGTTAATTATCTTTAGAGCTCTGACACTCCTATTAAAACTTGAAGTACACATTAAAATGCTGTTTTGCATGGGGATTATGGTCCTCTCTTCACACATGGAAGACCCCAGCATAATCCCATATTAGTTCATAGAGGGAAGCAAGAGAAGTGCAGCACATTTTCTTAGCAAATACACACAACACTATAAATTCCACATTATATGCAAGTCTTACTACTGTTCTGTTAGTGTAAAAGTCATGAGTAATACGGTCATAAGAACAAAGCTGTTAAAATGTTAAAGATAAAATATTTATGCAAAACCTAAGTTCCTGCCATGCTACCCTTGTGTTTCAGTTTGTAGGTGATTCATCTGAACAGATGCAAATTTGGGCACCAAGATAGTCCTGAATGTCAGTGCAAATTGGCTGTATATCTTCAACCAGCATCATTGACTTTTAAGTCTCAAATACAGGCTGCCATTCCATTCAGAACTGTGACAGTACCTCTAAAATACCTGTTTAAATTCTAGAGGCCAGGAAGGTTATTTTTCAAAACTGGCAAGTCACAGATATCATTATCCCTCAAACATTGAAAAACAGGTTCAGAATTTTGTCGACAAGTTTGTAAATATGATAATGTAATCCAGGTTTAAATTCATTAAACATTGTAAAATAGCAATGTAATGGCTAACACAGAAATTAAGCATTTCTACATCTTTTGTTGGGCGTGGATTTTGTTTTGTTTGTTGTTTTTCATTTAGTTTGGTTTCTTTGTTTTTTCTTTTTCT